GAGCCAGCCTCGTCCCAGTTGCTGCGGCAGAAAAAGCCGCGTAGCAGAAGCTGTGCTGTATCTTTTTGTCACGTGCTTGGTTACTAAAGCAACTTACTTACGTTACTGCTGAAGTTATAAAGTGCATTTGGAACGCTGACGCTTGTATTACGTGCCGTTAGCGTAACTCTGCTGGCCCTTTGGCTGGCGGCTTGCAGCATTTTACACGTGGTGGATTTCTTATTTCTTTTTTCTTTTTTAAACCTGGAAATAAAGCTGTGATTTCTGATCAAAGTGTGCTGCAAACACAGTGTTTCTTGAAACTGAACCTTCTGATTTTTAAACTGGTGGAGGAAGAAAATTTGGTGGAGCAAATATTTATAGTCTGGGTGAGTTATTTCAATTAGTGGGCGTGTAGACTGAGAACGTTTTAGATACTGAAATATTTACGTTCATCCATTCAAACGACAAATCCTTTTAAAAAGAGGGACCCCATCACACTACTTGTTAAAAGCGCTACGTGCAGTACGTATGGTTGTGCTTTAATCAGATAGTTCCATTAGCAGCTTTGTTGCCTCTTTTTTTTTTTTTTTTTTTTTGGAAGTACAGTATGAAACTGTAAATACTTCTTGCAGTACTGCCTTTTTAACTCTTAATTACTTTTGGCACAGTGTTAAATAGTGTTGGATTGACCCTATTGCTATGACATATATTTTTATACATAGGTGTACTCTTTTTTCGAGAATAATACAGCCATTTTGTCATTAATGCCTTATCAATGTCATACTGCTGTTGCTCTTTGTTTGCAAGGTATCGAGTGGACTAATTTCTAGTTCAGATATTTTCAATTTCCCTGGCAGTGCTCAAGTTTGGATTCAGGTGATTTTTTGCCGGAGTCCCATTTTTCATGGTTGTTAGCTTTGAGAAGAGGAGAATAAGGGTTTGGGGTTTTTTTTCTTTTAATGGAGAAAAGAAAATGTGATGGCATCTAATTGTCTTTAAAAGGTCAGTCTTCTCGTACTCTAAACCAGAGCGTATTTCATGGAATTGATGACTGTGGGCACTGATTACTTTGTGCAGATTGTGCAGATTAATGGTCTTTTTTTTTTTTCTTTAATAAGAAATAAAATTTTAAAAAAAGTAAACAACTCCAAAAATGGGCTTCTGTCATTGTTAGGCACTTGGTTACTTATCTGTTTAAACTCTTCATATTGATGTGAAATTGTGCTGTGGATAAAGTGTATTTTGTACTTCTGAATGTTCTATATTTATGACTAACAAGTACAGAATCAGTTGTGTGTATGTATAACTAATAACTGCCTTTTTAAATTTCATTAAAATAAAAATGTCATGAGCTGTTGTTAATTCTTGTCTTTCTGTAAATAAATGTGATATGCTATTAGGAAACATCAAGTAGGAGATGATCGTGAGTGGTGAAATTTGTGCCAAAAACCCGAAGATGAGGCTTTGCCTTACCTGTGTCTTTGAGATCTCCCCATGAGAGTTGCTACTTCTGTATGGTGTGGCTGTAGACATGAAGTTCCCATTTTGCTATTCTGATATAAAGGCTGTCCAGAGGGAGAGGAATATTAGTGCAAGACCTCAACTTCTGAAAGAAGTTCCAGAAAAGCCTGAATTAACAATCCTGCTCTGCTGATCAAGCTGAGATGTGTGAATTGGTATCTCTATTGTACAGCGTTTCGTTACCGCACGATTGGTTTAGCATTAGTTCATAGTCTGTGGCAATTTTTATTCACTCTCTGAGGCGGTAACACAGTGGTTTCTTTGTCCACCTTCTAGTCTCATTGTACCCAGTGGAAAAAATATAAGTATCCTTCCCACAAATATTCTGGTGACCTTTTCAGACTTTCTTGTGTAAAGTGTGTTTGCCTTTGAGTGGTTCTTCATTGTACTTTTACTGCATTTCTTTGTCTGCTTGATACTTTGTGAGCAGGATTTACCTCGCTAGTAAATCCGGGAAGCTGATGACTGGACCGCTGCAGGAGCTGAAGACGCTGTGCTGGAGAGCGTGCATTCCCGTGGCGGGGTAGGTGGTGTTTTCACAGCCCGTGCGCCGTTGTAAGGGCTCTGCCTGTGGAGCACAGACATCCGCTCTGCTGGGACCCGGTGGGACACCGCTGTCCGAGCGGGAGCAGG